GGGAGTGGAGAGAAGAGGAAAAGCAGAGGGAAGAAGAAAAAGACTGAAAGCGTATATTGTTCGCTTAGAAAAAAGAATTTTAGGGGAGGCCTGGTGGCAGTTCAAGAATGTTCACTTAGTTAGATGACTTCTAAACTGGAACTTGCCTAAGAAGCCACACTGCAGGGAGGAGACGGAGTTGGAACTGCAGTTCTCTTCCTTTAGCAGCCCCTCCATCCAGCCTTCCGCATAGCAGGCTGGTGAGGTATTGAGCAGCCCCTCTATTGGCCCCACACCCAGTTTTCAGAAGTTAAGTTCATTCTACAGGTCTCTAAAGGCTTCAAGGAAGACCAAATCTTTCCATTGTTGGCCTGGAAATCAAAGAAGATACTCCAAATCATCACCATTCAATAAAGCAGTGACTTACTGAAAGAATTACAGTTTACTAGCAAACCCCCCCAAATGAATCTCTATGTTTAATACATGCTTAACCTCCTAGTCTGAAGATAGCAGTATTCCAAATAATTGTAGGCTCCAAGATATCACTTAGTGACTTCTAATTTAGGAAACATATGCCCTAGAGAATTCCTCCCATTATACACACACACATACACACATGTATATTTGTATGTGCAAACATATATCCTACATAATAAACGACTGTTTTAAAGCCACACTAGGTTACAAAACAATACAATGAGTTAATTTAAACTATGTCATATTAAAATCTGGGCATGAACACAACTAGAAAGGAAGCCTAATTCATACCAGAAAATATCAAAACAAAGTCTGGTAAGTATCTAGCTAGTTAGACAGTCTCAAAGCAGTAGCTTCTCATTAGCATTGAGAAATAACAATCTGAGTGGCATGTGAATACCTACTGTGGAACTGGTACTGGATGTTGTATAAGCTGGGAACAGATGCCTCTTAAATTCAGTTTGTTGTACTATGACAGGGTTCTACTTTAATGACTCATCTTTTCCCAGTTTATTCTTTTCCAGGAAAAGCTTTCTATCCACTTGCATACACAAATGCAACTCTTCTTGTCATTTTCTAGTTCCTTTTTTTGGGAGAAGGGGACACTTAGAGCTTTTTTTTAAAATTTAAACAGCACCAACCTTCTGACTGATGAAGAAATAGAGGGAAATTGAAATGGGAGAGTAAAAAATCAATCAGGCATATAGGCAATCCCTTCCCTGGTAACGTTACAGAGTATACATTACTATTCATGATATTTTAGTTAGGAGACAACATCTCCAGCAAAAGAATCACCACACAACACTGTGTCAGGCTGTCTATCACATCTTTCCTACCACTTCCTTGCACAGAATCTGTAATCCAAACACCTACCATGGCCACCTCTCCAGAATGGCCCCACTGGTCTTGCTCCTTTTCCTGGGACAACAGCCCAAGTCCCCTCTGCATCCTTACTGCTCAGAAGCAAGACATGAACATTTTGTTTGAGGCATTCTTGAAGAAAAAGGATGATGATCTTGTAATATGAGGTATCTCCAAGTTTGTGTTTTGGGAGGGAGAGTGGTATAAGAAGACACAATTGCTGGATAATTCTCAGAAGCCAAACATAGAATTACCTATGATCCAGCAATTCCACTTCTAGGGACATACCAATGGAACTGAATGCAGGACCTCAAAGAGATATGTGCAAACCCATCTTCACAGCAGCACTAGTCACAACAGCGAAAAAGGAGAAGCAGCCTAACTGTCCACTGATGAATGAAGGGATACAAAAATTTGATATATACATACAAATATGTTTGGCCTTAAAAAGGAAGGAATGTTTGACACGTGCTAACAACATGGATAGACCTTAAGGACATTACGCTAAGTGAAATAAAGCAGAAACAGAAAGACAAATACTGTATAATTCTACTTATATGAGGTACCTAGAGAAGTCAAATTCATAAACACAGAAAGTAGAATGGTGGCTACCAAGAGCTGGGGGAAAGGGAATGGGGAATTATTGTTTAATGGGTGTAAGTTTCAGTTTTGCAAAATAAAGCGTTCTGGAGATTGGTTGCACAATATGACTATACTTAACGCTATTGAACTGTACACTTAATAGTTAAGATGGTAAATTTTGTTATGTGTCCTTTATCACAATTAACCCCCCCCCAAAAAAAAAAACCTATAGTTCTTAGTATTTCCCAATATGATGGTGATAACAATAATACCTTACAAATGCCCGGGAACTTCTTTCAGAGAAATCCAGAGAGCTGGGCCTCCAGATTTGTTCATGCCAACTCAAAACGATACCAAGGATGAGTTCAGTTGTAAAAGTTGTACTTATCAGAGTTTAACTTTCTTTTCCCCACTAGCATGAATGTTTGGTATATATCACCATTTATCCCTCTGAAACCAGGGTCACCCAGACATCTGTCTGTGGATGTCGACCCGCAGTGCCACTCTGGTATTATCTGGGATTCAGGGAGGAGAGGCCTACCTATGTTGAGGAAAAAGAGAGATTTGTGAAGTCAGCCTCATTCATCTTCTACTTAGAGAGTTAAGGAATGTGTCCATACTGTTCCTCCCGACAAAATTCACGATTTTTTCTCCAGATTAAAGGTGACTTCACCTCTTTCCACTTTGACGTTTAAACTCAACTCAGTATTCAACTTGGCAGTCATTCCTATCTAAAAATTACACAAAAGATTAATACTCCAGGTGCTCTCTACCACCCAACAGGATCTGTTACCTTCTGCCATTCTGGGTCTCCACTCATTCTTTCAGAACCTGGGGATCAGAGGTTTTATATAATGACGGCACTTTATAAACCATTTTTTGCATCTCAAACACAAAGGAACACAGTGCAGAGAAAGTAGAAAGATGGGGAAGGGGCTGAGAAATAGGAAAGAATAAGGACCCACAGAAGAAATACAAACAGCTTTTGGAAGGATGCATTTACAAAAATGACATCAGGCAGCTGGGTGCAGTGGCTCACGCCTATAATCCCAGCACTTTGGGAGGATGAGGCGGGCGGATCACCTGAGGTCAGGAGTTTGAGACCAGCCTGACCAACACGGTGAAACTCCATCTCTACTAAAAATACAATACCAGCCACGTGTGGTGACGCATGCCTGTAATCCCAGCTGCTTGGGAGGCTGAGGCAGGAGAATCGCTTGAACTGGGGAGGCAGGGGTTGCAGTGAGGTGAGATGGTGCCATTGCACTCCAGCCTAGGCGACAAGAGCAAAACTCTGTCTCAAAAAAAAAAAAAAAAAAGTCATCAGGCCCATCTGGAAAGTATTCTAACAAAATAAAAAGATAAAAAGTCCCTTTCCACTATGAGCAGCAGATTTTCAGAACATAAGACTTCTGGAACAGCAAGGCTGTACAGCCAACTAACAAAGCAAAACAAAACTGAAAGAAGAGTTCCTTTGAGGAATGTCCAGCCACTGCGAAGTTGTAAGCCTCTTCCTGGTGCTCAAGGGCAGTACCAGGTACAAGAGGCCTTCCTACTGCAGTTCCCATGTGCATGTCTCTTACAAGCATTTGTGCAAAGTGCTCCAACCAGCGATAAATCTAATCTTCCCTCTATCCCCCCACACCCGTCGACAATGTGGGCTGGCTCTGTCAGAGCTAGCGCAGGGTTTCTGAAAACACTAGGGCTGATATGTCTAGCTTAGAATCTTCCCTTATTCTCTGTCAGCTTCCTCTCCATTTTCTTGCACAACTTGGTAGTAAAATATGAAAAAAATGTGGCAATTGGAAGACAGAATCAACCATGATTTTTCTCTTTCATCGCTGTTCTAGTTATTTGGCATTACTGGAATATAAACAAGTGAGTCCAGGAGCCCCTCACTCCTTCGTTGTTTATCATACAGACACATTTTACAACACTTTGGGCTGGAATGAAGACATGAAACAGGAAGTTCCTGATCTTGCTGTCCTCTCCTCCTTATCCTCCCTGTCTCAGTTAACACATTAACACAGTCAAAGAAGCCGTCTAGTATGTTTCCCAAAAACACCCAGAAAGAGCTCCGCAGCCTCTCTGGCTAACCCGTCCTAGAGCTGCACAGCAGTCCAATAATGTAGGAATCTCCTTCTCTGAACTCGGATTTGAGACGTTTTCTTTTTCCACATACAGGTCTGAAAGCAGCAGGCCACTGCGTAATGAAACTATCCCTCACTGGCCTCAGGAGGAATAATCTTGGGCCCTTTCTGTTTCTGGACTGCTGCTTCCCAACCCACTAGCCATCTTTCTGGCTCTTTTGCAGACTCTTCTCTAGGAAGCACAAGGCTGAAGACATAAAGCTCTCGCAACCGTCACACCTCACGGCCTCTTCAGGGCCTGCTTAGCTTTTGCTCTGGGCTGGGCCTGCTTCTTCAACTCTGGTGCCGGGCAAAGGATTTCCTCGTCTCATGTTTAAGCTATCCCTACTGCTGCTTCTCTACTCCTGTTTTGTGTTAGTAAAAGAAGGAAGGAAAGAAAAGGGGGAAGGAGGACAGTAGAAAAAATAAAAAAGGAAACTTAAGAGTTTATAATGACATGAGATATTATATTAACATTAAATACAAGCCAAAAGATGAGTTTTATGAGATGAAAATTCCACAAAACAACAAACTTTTGCATATAACCTTGCAAGCACGTTTTTATGCACAGTATTTCCGTATTTTCTAACACCCTTTGAATGCCCCACACGTCTGCAAACACAGGCTGATCTGTCCCATTGCACATTTACACTAACAGGTAAAAATGACAAGAGGCCTAGCTGAATTCCACGAAATAAGTTATTTAAAGAACATCTGAAGTTTTGTTCTTTCAGAAGCAGAGAAGTTCTAAAACACGGAAGCAAGAGATTCTGAGAATTTCATTTTCACCATAATGGCTCAATGTTCGTTCCTCTAACAACGTGCAGTTAACAGCTGTGCGCTGGCTCTTACATTCAAAGCCAAAAAGCAAGTTCTTCACATTAGAGAAATCATTAAAGACAGTTCAAGGAAAGAGAATTAGGTATTTTAGAGTGGCTATGGAAAGTTTTCCAGGGGGGAAAAAGCACTAACCTGTGTTGTTTTAATCTGCTGAAAACAACCAAGTTCTCAAGTTCCCCTTCTGTCTTCTAGCCAGTTTCCTGTAAATGTTGCATGTGACATTATACTTCCGCACTGCACCTTCTTTGACTCGCCTCCCTAACTGGTCAGAGGCATGTGATAAGATCAATTTGCTGCTTGCTTCACATGGGGGTAACCCTGTGTCTGCGGAAATGATTGTCTCCCCCAGCTTGTTTTGAGTGTTCCCAGGACACAGGTAAAGAGGAGATAAGCCAGGGGGAAGTCATGCCTGGACTCCAGGCACTCCTGACTCCAGAGGAAAGTGAAGGGGGAAGGGAGAGATAGTCTTGAGCCCCAGGGCTCAAGGGCTCTTGAGGCTGGAGTTGAGCAGCTGAGAAGGGGCAGAGCGCTCACAGAGGAGCCTGGGGCTTGGGTGCTCTGCTGTCATTAGGTCAGCCCGTGGGAATGCCACCCTCAGGGCAGCTGAGGAAGGGCCCTTGATGGTGCTGCACCCAGGATGTCCCCACACTCCTCTCTGGAGGGCACCACCATCAAGGGAGCACACTCAGGCCTTGGTTCATATTTCTGGATCCTGCATCAACCATGGCTACACACCCTGAATTTCCTGGGACTCTCTCAAGTTCACATGTGGTCATGCTGTCAGACAGTGTGCCCCAACTGTTGGCTCAGAAAACAAAACCAATGTATTCTCAGCCTTCCAGGGCTAAATAACTGGGAGACATTTCCCTCTTGCTGACCTCCAAAATACACCAGCCTTTTGGTTTCCCTTGAAAGAGCTGGGTATCATCTTCCTCCGGAATGGAGCTGGGTTCCTGGCAGTGTGTGAGTCCTGGCCATGGGGGCTCTGATGTTGGCCCGACAAGAGCACCAGGAGAGTGCCAGCTGTGACCCTCTCTGCCCTGTACAGCTGGAGAGGCTGGAGGAGAGCTGCGGCAGGGACTAAGCAACAAGCCCAAGGGCACCATATCTAGCTTTCTTGTTCTGCTCACTGGTGCCTTCTGTTTCTTTTTGTGATTCCCCTAGCCATCAGGAGGGTCCAAACATACTGGAATTTGTGGATATAGGAAGTTGTGTGTGGCAGTCAAATGATCTCCTGGACCAAGGGGAATATTCCACAATTTGTAAGACTTGACTGCAAAAACCCCAAAGTTGTTTCTATTTGGCTACCTTGGCATGATTGTTTTTTAAAAAATGTTTTTAAAGGGATCTTTTTTGTTTTTTAGAAAGGTAACTGTAGACATACTCCAAGTCTTGAAAATATTACCCTATAATTCCCTGATGAAGTTTTCCATGGGAGAATACTGAGTAAGGAAACCAGTCCTGGGACTCAGAACTGTGGACAACAGTAAAACCCTGAAGTCTCACCACATGATTGCACTTCTGGCTTTGAAAACACACATATCTGTTTTTACCATTTTGACAGCTGATGGCTGGTTTTCTGATTGAATTGACATTTAGATTAGACAATTGAGTCAAAATGGCTGTCCGAGCTATAGACATGGCATTAGCTTTAAAACAGGAATAATGGTAAAATTTTGCCATCTTGGGAGTCAGAAATTGCAAGAACTTTGGAAAAACAAAATACTACATAGATGAAAAATGATGATGACTCAATTTGAATGTATTTAGAAGTCTCACATTCTGGGTTAAGCTGCCAGTTCCATTTTTCAACTAAGCAGCTGCATATGTTCTGCTTAAGCCGTGTTCTGTGTGGAATTTTTAAAGGCCTTAATAAAATGCTTTATAATTTTCCATTTTCCATTAAAATCCCTAACCTGGCTTTCTGTCCATGTTTTTTTTTTTTTTTTTTTTTTTTTTTTTTCTGGTTAGGCATTTAAAAATTTTAATACACTTTATATTTCAGAACAGTTACAGATTTATAGAAAAACTGAGAAGACAGTACAGAGTTCCCATATATCCTACGCCCAGTCTCCCGTATTATTAACTTCTTAAATTTAGTATGATACCTAAGTACCAATTAATAAACCAATAGTGATACATAATTATTAACTAAAGTCTACGGTTTATTCAGATATCCTTAGTTCTTACCTACTGTCCTTTATCTGTTCCAGGATCCCATCCAGGACTCCACATTACATTTAGTCATCGTGTCTTCTTACGCTCCACTTTTCAGGCTTTCCTTGTTTTTGACAACCGTCACAGTTTTGAGAAATACTGCTCTGGTATTTTGTAGAATGTGCCACAATTGGGATTTATTTTTTCTCTTGATAAGACTGGGGCTATGGGTTATTTGGAGGAGGTAAAGTGTCATTTTAGTCACATCGCATCAGGTATATGTACTATCCACATGATTTAATACTGCTGGTGTTGGCCTTGATCACCTGGCTGAGGCAGTGCATGTCGGGTTTCTCCACTGTAAAGTTGCTCGCTGCTTCTCCCCACCTTTCCATATCATACTCTTTGGAAGAAAGTCCTTCGGGGTAGAGTGTCTATATAAATTATTTGGGATCCTTCTGCATGGAAGATTTGTCTCTTATACACATTTATTAATGTATTCAATCATTTATTTATACCAGTATGACTGCACAGGTATTTATTTTATGCTTTGCATTTTAATTCAACAGTACTTTATTCTGTTGCTCAAACTGTTCCAGCTTTGGCCACTGGGAGCTCTTACCATTGGTTTCTGTGCTCCTTTGACATACTCCTATCAATATTTTTTTCTGTTTTGTTTTTAAGTACTTCCTCACTTTCCAGCACTACAAGATGCTCCAGGCTCACCGTGTATAGTACCTCCCTAACTGTTCATGATTTTGGTTTCTTTTTTTGCTTTGTTTTGACAAAAGAATACAAAAATAAACTGATGGGCCTGAGAAAACATGTCTTCAATTTTAATTAGTTCTGCTCATGTGTACTAATAAAAAATTTTGTTTAATTACTTTCATAAAATTAGTCCTACCTGGCCTCTACCAGCTGCAAAACACCATAATACCAAGTGAGTGGAATTCTGCACTGGCTTAATCCCAAGATACATGGCTGTGCTGGTACTGTTTTTTTCCCCACATATTTTAACATTCCTGGAATCGAAGTGTGCATTTAATGTCATGTCTTTTTTTCCTCCTTACCTGTTATTAATTGATGTTACACCTTATAGGTGATGGTGTTCTGAGAATGGAGGAAACAGATCAGTCAATTACTTTTTGTTTGGACTAAGATATATAATTTATTTTCACTGATTTTTTTCCCACTGAACAAATATTTTGACTAAAGTAGTTTGATGTATAGCATGTGCAGACATTAAAAAATTCCAAGGTACATTCTACTACAAACACATTCTAACTTTACCTCAAGCTACACATTCTCATCAAGTCCTAAATATAGATAAAATACAGATATTGATATAAATTAAAACGGGGGAGTCTATTTAATTTCATTTTTAAAATTGACATTGTAACTGTACATATTTATGGAGTATAATATGATATTTTGATACATATGTATATTGTATAATGATCCAATCAGGGTAGTTAGCATATCCATTAACTCATGCATTTATCATTTATTTATGATGAGAATATTCAAACACCTCTCTCCTGGCTATTTTATAAAATACAATATTTTACCATTAACCATAGTCTCCCTACTGTGCAAGAGTGCACCAGAATTCACTCCTCCTATCTAATTGTAACTTTGTACCTGTTGACCCCATCTTCCCCTCCCTCCCCAGTCTCTGGTAACCATCTGTTCTATTCTCTGCTTCTGTGATATGAACCTTTTTTTTTTTTTTTAAGATTCCATATATGGGTGAGAGCATGTGGTATTTGTCTTTCTGTGTCTGGCTTATTTCACTTAATATGATGTCTTCCAGGTTCATCCATGTTGTCACAAATGACAGGACTTTATTCATTTTTATGCCTGCATAGTATTCTATTGTATATATATACCACGTTTTATTTGTTGGACATATCCAACTGCATGTACTAGAATAAAAACAGACACATAGACCAATGGAAAAGAATAGAGCCCAGAAATAAATTCATGCACTTACACTCAACTGCCATTCAACAAAAGTGCCAAGAACACATACTGGGTAAGAGACACTCTCTTCAATAAATGGTGCTGGGAACATTGGATATCCATGTGCAGAAGGAAGAAGGAAGGTGTTCAATTCTTTTCTGCGTTTACTGACTCCTTTTGTGTTTACTCTATTACTTTTCCAAGATCTCACGAGTCCATTATCATGCCTGAGCAACCTAATATTGATGCTGAGGGGTTGCGAGATGGAGTTTCAGTATGGCTGATGAGGAGCAAATGTGCTGACTGGTCAGCAGGCAGATCCAAAGCTCTCCTTGCTTCTGTTTTCCTACTGAGACAGACAAGTAAGTGCACAGTGGTAGGACTGGCCAGGAGTCCCCTCGCTGTGGCCAGGATTTTCTCTCCAGCTAATGAACCACTGTTATTTTGGGAGCATGATGTTTTATAGATTTTTTTTTCTTTTAAAGGACAGAGACTAATTCAACCATTTCCCACTGGCATATCTTACAAATGGTCACAGACAAAATGCCCAATCTTTTCATCCAGGTAGGCAGAACTTGGCTACTCTAAATACTATTTACTGTCCCACTCCTGTATAAAGTGTACCAAAAACTGATAGTGCCTTAATCATCTCACCAGTACCCAGAAAGGACTGGAAGAAATGCTGCACTGACTTTTTTCAGCAACCATTTACCAAGCCTGTATCCCATGCTTTGACATTGAGCTAAGTGCTTTATATACATATTTTCATTTAACTCTCATTATAATCTTGTGAGGTAGGTATTGTGATCTCCCCTTTACAGACAGAGTAATCAAGCTTTATGTGGTTAACTAACCTCTCCGGGGTCTCTTGATAAGTCTGAAGCCAACATACAGGTTCAGTTCTATCTGTGCAGAGACTCAGAGCCTAACTGCTACTCTTTGCTATAGAGAGATTTACCATGCTATAGATAGAATACTAACTGCTATACTCATAAATGACCACTTTATTGAATACAGTCCTATTCTCTATTTTCTGCACATGCCTTTCACCTCAACCAAACCTAAGATGCAAGGAGGGCAAGGATAGTGTCTAATACCCCG